CCTTGGAAGAGGTTAACTAAAGGAAAGGTTCTACACAGCAACCCACCTACATTAGTGCTTGGCTAAGTGCTCTTAACAGGGACCAGCTGTTGGTGGTCTTAAAGAGATATAAAGATTGCTTTGCATGGTCTTATAATGAACTGGCAGGATTGGATAGGTCATTAGTAGAACATAGGCTCCCTATGAAGCCTAATTTCAAGCCATACAAGCAAAAACCAAGAAGGATGAGTCCTGAAGTGATTCAGAAAGTCAAGGAAGAAATCCTTAGGCTCCTTAAAGCAGGCTTTATTAGGACAGCCCTGTATGTTGAATGGCTATCCAATATTGTGCCTGTAGTTAAGAAGAATGATAAAATGAGGGTATGCATCGATTTTAGAAACCTGAATTTAGCAACTCCAAAAGATGAATAACCCATGCCTATAGTAGATTTATTGGTGGATAGTTCAGCAGGGCACAAGATTTTATCAATGATGGATGGGCACTCTGGTTATAACCAAATCTGCATTGCAGAAGAGGATATCCATAAGACAGCATTCAGATGTCTTGGGAACATTGGCACCTTCGAATGGATTAAAATGCCATTTGGCTTGAAGAATGCTAGGGCTACATATCAAAGGGCTACGAACACTATCTTTCATGACCTCATTGGAAGATATTTAGAGTGTTACATTGATGACATTGTAGTGAAGTCCCAATCCATGGAGGAACAATTGCTTCACTTGGAAGCATCTTTTGAAAGAATAAGAAAGTTCAAATTAAAGCTCAATCCTCTCAAATGTGCTTTTGGCGTATTAGTTGGAAACTTCTTGGGCTATGTAGCACACACGAAGAGAATACAGATTGATCAAAACAAAGCAAAATTTATCATTGAAGCCAGGCCTCCATCAAGTAAGAAAGAAATACAAAAATTCCTTGGACAAGTTAATTTTCTTCGAAAATTTATTTCTAATACTGCAGGAAAAACTAAAGTATTTTCTTCCTTATTAAGGTTGAAAGATAAAGAGAAGTTTGTGTGGACAGCAGAGCATCAAACTAGTTTTGAGGGAATCAAAGCCTACTTGACCAAGCCTCCAGTGCTGATGCCACTAAAGGGTGATAAGCCCTTGAAGTTGTATATTGCTGCAGTAGAAGATTCACTAGGAGTTTTCTTAGCCCAGGACAATGAAGAAGGCAAAGAGTAAGCAGTTTATTACCTTAGTAGGTTCTTAAATTCTTGTGAATGTAAATATTCAGCTGTGAAAAAGCTGTGCCTTGCATTATATTTTGCTGCAATGAAACTAAGATATTATCTTTTGCCTACAACTGTCTTGGTAATTGCAACCACAGATTTAGTTAAATATATGTTGTCTAGACCCATGTTGAGAGGAAGAATTGGCAAATGGATACTAGCTTTATCAGAATTTCATCTAGAATATGTCCCCCAAAAATCAGTAAAACGACAAGTTTTAGCTAATTTCTTGGCAGATCATCCATGTCAGACAAAAAGCCAAGAGACAATGGATCTTGGTATGGTTAGTATTGAACCATGGAAAATGTGGTTCGATAGATCAAAATCCAATGGTCTAACTGGAATTGGTGTAATGATTAAGTCACCACAGGGGGTAGAAACCACACATGGTTTCAGAGTGGATGAAGTTACTTGTTCCAATAATCAAGGTGAATATGAAGCTTTAATAATGGGACTAGAAATACCTATTGGATTTGTCACGACCCAAACCCGCCCCTATAGGTTTAGCGTCGTAACCGACCAGTAATCCTCGGATTACCAAAGGCCTCTTAGCAGATTAGCAAGTAATAAGGGGCTGCGGAAGCAACTAGACAAAATAAACCAAGTCCAATGAGCTGTGATGATGTACATGAGACAGAGTAAGTCAAATTTATTTATATTCATAAGCATGCTAGTCAAGGGACACCAATATTCACAAATATTTACAGACTGTAGTTTCCAGATCCTGACTTTACAAACAGACAGAGACTAGCATAACTACAAAAACAGCCATGGCAATTGACTTCAATTGGAACCTCCTCAGGAGACGCGACGGTTGGCTGACAAAACTGGGGTGTAGACCATCAACCCTGGGCCTGGTCTCGTACTTGCTCACCTACATACATAATATAAGGAGTGAGCTAAAGCCCAGTGAAAAATAATAGAGTAAAGGCGTTTAATGAATGCTGACCATATTGAATACAAAAATCAGAAATCAATCCCTTATCAGATCAGAAACATAATCATATTCGTATCAGAAAAGAATCACAATCATATCCATATTCAAATCATGTGTGGTACATTCCCCTTAGCATAACATATCATGTTAGTCAAGCATAGTAAGTTCCATAATGGAACCTCCGGTACCGAGTAACATATCTGTGCCACGGTATTGTTTCTCCCGGGCTAGGGCCTCATGACCATGTGCCTCAGTATTGTGTCCCCTGGGCGAGGGCCTCGGCTAAGGATACCACGTTTACATTTCAAGGAAAATTGGACAATCATTCATTCATTCAAAACATAGCATTTCAGAACTTATCATCGCATGTCATTGGAAAATAATTAAAGTTAAACATAACTTTACAGAGTTATTACTCACAAACAATTGGTCGGCCCAACTAGATGGTAAAATGGCACTTCACTTGTCCTGGGGTGCGGGACCTACACGAACACACATACAATTATCCGCTTGAAACACACGCTCGTGTTAGACGTAACTTACTTCGTTAATCTTAGTGTGTGCTTAACCATTAACCTCATTATGGAGTCTTAAACATGGCTTAGGAATGCCTAGGATGGGATGGGGATGCAAAAATGCACTTAACAACATTTTTCAAAATTTAGCTGAAATAGGGGTCACGCTCGAGCGTGGCCTTCTACACTCGAGCGGACATGCAGACAAAAGGAATTTACTCGAGCGGACTGCAAGCTACAATAAAAGTACTCGATGCACGAAATTCACGCTCGATGGGCGATCGATACCCGCTCGAGCGTGAGACACAAATCCTTGCTCGAGCGTGCATTACCCCGCTCGAGTGGACTGTAAACACAGGCGAAGTACTGGATACACGAAATTTCTGCTCGAGCGTAATTTTACCTGCTCGAGCGTACTGCATGAACTCAGTATGTACGCTCGAGCGTGGAGTTTCCCGCTCGAGCGTGAGTCCAAAATCTGGAATTTCCAGATTCGAACCTCAGGCTCAAAACTCAACTACAATGCATCAAATTCGATCCTTTTGGGCTAATTTTCTGGAAAACACTTATAAACTCATAATATGACATGTTTTAAAGATCAATTTGAGAAATCAAAGCTCAAAGGTAGTTCAATTAAACACAATTTTCAAATAAACTTCAAGAACATGAAGAACAATGCAAAATTCAACACATGCATGGGTTCCTTGAAACTCCAAAGTTCTAAAACAAGATCAAATGCAAGATTTAACTTCAAAACATGGTGAGTTCACGGACTATAACAAAAATGTGGACATGCATGCAAGAATTACTATGAAAACAACCTCAAACTTCATGATATGCACATGCATGCATGATACAAGCTTTAATTCAAATTGTTTGAGCCAATTGAAGACTTAGGTAAGTAATTTCATATGAACCATGCAAGAACTAACTCAATTCAAAATTAAGAAGGTAATTCTCCTACCTTAAGTCTTCAATTCCAAGCCTAGAAGCTCAAGTATGCACACAATTCTTCAATTCTTCCAAGTTCAAGCTCAAATCTCTTGTTGAAAAAAGTCTCTCACACTCTCACTCTTTCTCACGTTTTTTTGTCTCTAGGAAGATGAATAAGTGATGCCTCAACCTCTTATGCCTCAAGACTAGGTGCTTGCCTAGAATAATCCACTTAGTGGCAATTAGGTAAATAAGCCAAACTAATGTGATTCAACATTAATTAATCTAATTTAATCATACCGAACCGAGTTTGAATTAAATCTACCACAAAATCACATAAATTCTAATTAGCACATAACACTAATCAATTTCGGAATCAGGCGCCGATAAGGCTTTTAATTCGCAATTCAAAGTCAGAACATGAACAGATCGTTATACAGCGAACAGATAGAAACACAAAAATAATGCAACACATATGCAAATTAATTTCTGGATTTCTCTTAAATTACTGTTAGGCATAATTAATCATGAATTAGCATTAATCGGAGGTCGGGGTTATTACAGTCTTCCCCCCTTAAAAGAGTTTGGTCCTCCAAACTCGAATTACCTTCATTTGGAATTAACATTGGGTGCAAAGGGAACAAATTTGGATATCTCTTCATCATGTCTTCCTCGGTTTCCCAAGTTGCATAGGTTCCTCCGTGGTTCTGCCAATCAACTTTTTGATCCGGTGATTCACAATCTGGATAGGTCTCTGCTCATAAGTGTAGTCATCTTTCAAAAGCACTTGTGTCGGTTCAATGACGTGAAGTGGATCTCTCAAGTACTCTTGAAGCATCGATACATGAAAGACCTTATGCATATGTTCCATTACTAGAGGCAAGGCTACCTGATACGATACTGGATTGATCTTTTCGAGAAGTTCATAAGGTCCAACATACCTTGGTGCGAACTTGCCCCTGATACCAAACCGAGTTTAACCCTTCATCGAGGTCACCTTTATGAACACATGGTCTCCAACATCATATTCCCTATCTCTCCTTCGAACATCGGCATAGCTTTTCTGCCGACTCTGTGCAGTTTTCAAACGCTGCTATATCAGCTTCACTTTCTCGGTTGTTTTGCACAAATTCCGGTCCCAACAAAGGTCTATCACCTACTTCAGCCCAACATATTGGAGAACGACACTTTCTTCCATGTAAAGCTTCGTAAGGAGCCATTCCAATGCTTGAATGGTAACTATTGTTGTACACGAATTCAGCTATTGGCAAGTAGGTCTCCCAATTCCCCCGGAAGTCTAACACACACATTCTGAGCATATCCTCCAGAGTTTGATTCATTCATTCAGTTTGGCCATCTGCCTGTGGGTGATAGGCATTGCTTAGTCTCAATTCAGTTCCCAAAGCCTGTTGCAAACTCTACCAAAACCTCGATACAAACTTCGAGTCCCTGTCAGACACAATAGATACTGGCACTCCATGCAATCTCACAATTTCAGTCATGTAGATATTAGCCAATTTATCAGCGTTATAAATAGTTTTGACAGGCAGAAAATGGACAGACTTAGTTAAACGGTCAACTATACCCCAAATAGAGTCCATACCTCGAGAAGAACGAGGAAATCCCACGATGAAGTCCACGGTAATGTGCTCCTATTTCCATTCCGGTATTAGGAGTGGTTGTAGCAAACCAGCGGGTCATTGATGTTCAGCTTTGACCTGTTGGCAATGCAAACATCTAGCCACAAAGTCTGCAATACTCTTTTTCATTCCAGGCCACCAAAAGTTCTGTTTCAAATTATGATACATCTTCGTGTTCCCCGGGTGCATGGCAAACTTACTGCTGTGAGCTTCGGTCATCACACGTTTTCTCAAGTCACCATAATCAGGTACACAAAGACAGTTCTGAAATTCCAGCACATTATTTTCAAATACAAACCCTAGCCTCAGCTTGGAATCAAGTTCTTCCATGATCTTTTTCATGTATTCGTCTTCAAGTTGCCTTTCTCGGATTTCTTCAATGATCGCAAGCTGAGCGGAGATAGCGGCTAGTATTCCGCCTTGTTCCCGTATCACAATCTCGATTTCATTCCTATCCAAATCACACAGCAGTTCTCTCTGGCTGGTAAGCAGGCATGATAAACTTCCCATTGATTTTCGGCTCAAAGCATCTGCCACAGTATTAGCTTTCCCTGGGTGATACAAAATTTGTAAGTCATAGTCCTTGATCAGTTCTAACCACCGCCTCTGCCTCATGTTCAATTCTTTTTGGGTGAAGAGGTATTTCAAGCTTTTATGGTTGGTATACACTTCACAAGTTACCCCATACAAGTAATAACGCCAGATTTTCAAAGCGAACACTACAGCTGCCAGTTCAAGGTCGTGTGTCGGGTAATTCTTTTCATGAGGACGAAGTTGTCGAGAAGCATAGGCGATGACTTTCCCATTTTGCATCAGTACACAACCCAACCCTTTATATGAAGCATCACTGTAAATCTGAAACCCATCGGTACCATTAGGTAAGGTTAGGATTAGTGCAGTTACCAGCCTGGTCTTTAGTTTTTGGAAAGTTGATTCACGCTGATCATTCCAGTCAAACTGTACATTCTTCTGTGTCAATTGTGTTAATGGCATTGCAAGCTTTGAGAAATCTTTCACAAATCTCCTATAATACCCAGCCAATCCCAGAAAACTTCTAACTTCTGTCACATTCGTCGGTCTAGGCCAATCCACAATAACTTCAATCTTCTGGGGGTCTACAGAAACACCATCCCCATTAATTACATGGCCCAAGAATGCTACACTGTCAAGCCAGAATTAGCATTTGGATAATTTAGCATACAGCCCCTTTTCTCTCAAAATCTGCAAGGCAGTTCTCAAATAGTTCTCATGTTCCTTCCTGTCTTTAGAGTAAATCAGAATGTCATCAATAAACACAACAATGAATTCATCAAGATATTGTTTGAAGACCCTATTCATTAGGTCCATAAAAACTGCGAGTGCATTTGTTACCCCAAAAGGCATTACTAAAAACTCATAATGTCCGTATCTAGTTCGGAATGCAGTTTTCTCTACGTCTTCTGCTTTAACCTTTAACTGATGATATCTGGATCGAAGGTCAATTTTTGAGAACACTTTGGCTCCTTGGAGTTGGTCAAATAAATCATCTATTCGGGATAATGGATATTTGTTCTTAATGGTTACCACGTTCAATTCCTGATAGTCAATGCACAGTCTCAAGGATCCGTCTTTCTTTTTAACAAATAGTACTGGAGCACCCAAGGTAAGGTACTTGGACGAATAAATTTCTTGTTTAGGAGTTCCTAAAGTTGGGCTTTCAGTTCTTTTAGTTCAGAAGTCGACATCCTATATGGAGTCTTGGAGATAGGTTGTGTCCCAGGTGTTACATCAATGGTGAACTCTATTTCCCTATCAATCAAGTCCCCGGGCAGATCATCGGGAAGCACATCAGGAAAATCACAGGCCATAGGGATAGCTTCTACCTTAGTGTCATCAGGTGATGCAGTCAGTATACAGCACAAGTATCCCCTACATCCTTTCCTAAGCAATTTTCTGGCTTTCAGGGCTAAAATCAGATATGGGGGAGAAACTACCCCGTCCCCAGTAAAGGTAAATTCGGGCATACCCGGTAGCTTAAACACAACAGACTTACTTGCACAATCAATGGTAGCACAGTATTTAGTCAACCAGTCCATTTCCAAAATACAATCAAAGTTAATAATGTTCAAGGGTATTAAATCAACATACAATGTGTGACACCCCGTATTTTTGAAGTATTAATATTTAGTGAGTGGTATTGGTGTGAATAATGTTCAAGGGTATTAAATCGACATACAATGTCATCTCTCCAATTACAAGATCACATGCCGGATAAACACAAGCACACATCATGGAACCCCCAGATGGTATAGATATAGATAGTAAGCAGTTCATGGGTTCTAACGGTCCAGTTAATTTCTGAGAAAAAGCATGCGATACGAATGAATGTGTGGAGCCAGAATCAATCAGCACATACGCATTCTGAGCACAGATAGAAATAGTACATGACACTACCGATTCAGTATTTTGCACATCTCCGGGCACTAAAGTGAATACTCTCCCTTGCTTCAATGCTTCATTCTCATTATTGCCCTTGGCATTACTTTTGAAGTTTGATTTGGTCACTGAAACAGACCCTGTTGAACTGGCTGCGGGGTGACTGGTATTCCTTGATCCCATTGGACAATCTTTCATCATATGGCCCACTTTGCTACACCGGTAACAGGCGCCTGACACGTGATGGCATACTCCTCTATGCCTCCTGCCACAATCTGCACAAGTCGGTATAGACCCACTACTCTGGCTGTAACCGCCGGAGGATCCTGTGTTTTGTCTCTTTGAAAACGATCGGCCCCGTCTAAAATTGAACCCGGTCCTCTTGCCCTTCTATTCGGTTGGTGGGTTTATAGTCTGTTTCTTTGCTGCTATAGTAACTTCTGCCATTAATGCCCTGTCAAGTACCTCCACGTAAGTAGGCAATTTCAGGACACCCACTCGATCAAATACTTCTAAATCCAGGCCTTCCTCAAAATTTCGTGCCTTCTTATAATCCGTGTCTACCACGTGTGGAGCAAAACGAGCCAGTTCGGTAAACTTAGCTTCATATTCAGCTACGGCCATTCTGCCTTGTTTAAGTTCTTGAAATTCTGAAACTTTCCAGTCTCGGAAGCACTGAGGAAAGTACTTGTCGTAGAAAACTGAGTAGAATTGAGTCCATGTCATATTCTCATTACCATTCCGAACTAGTAACCACCATCTTCGAGCTTTGTCTTTGAGAGTGTAAGTGGCCAACAAAACCTTATGTACTTCAGAGCAGGGAAACACTTCAAGCAATTTTTCCATCTCTAGTAGCCAAGTTTCTACCTTCAGTGGTTCAATGCCTCCTAAGAAGGTTGGCGGTTTCATCTTCATGAATTTTTGAGTCATGTTAATCATGTCGTTGTTGCCCATTTCAACTTGAGCTGGTGGGGGCAGAGGTGGCGAGGGTTGTCGCCTCTGTTGTTGCATTAGCACTTCGGTTAAAGTGGCAAGCATCTGTTCCATTCTGTTCATTTGGGCATCCAAGGAGCCCGAAGTGTCATCACCTCTTGTATTGTCCATTTGCTATAGGTAAACACAAATTTATAAATATTGGCAATTAATCTTCATTATTTTATCCAAGTTCACATGAATATGCTAGGTTACATTTTCACTTTCTGACAATGCTCAAAGACATGCAGATGAAATGTCCCTACTTCTTACTAGGACATCCTGAGCTCATATGGACTTGTGTGTGCGGTATAACACGTGTTTTAATACCACTCTGTCATGACCCAAACCCGCCCCCATAGGTTTAGCGTCGTAACCGGCCAGTAATCCTCGGATTAAAAAAGGCCTCTTAGCAGATTAGCAAGTAATAAGGGGCTGCGGAAGCAACTAGACAAAATAAACAAAGTCCAATGAGCTGTGATGACGTACATGGGACAGAGTAAGTCAAATTTATTTATATTCATAAGCATGCTAGTCAAGGGACACCAATATTCACAAATATTTACAGACTGTAGTTTCCAGATCCTGACTTTACAAACAGACAGAGACTACCATAACTACAAAAACAGCCATGGCAATTGACTTCAATTGGAACCTCCTCAGGAGACGCGACGGTTGGCTGACAAAACTGAGGTGTAGGCCATCAACCCTGGGCCTGGTCTCGTACTTGCTCACCTACATACATAATATAAGGAGTGAGCTAAAGCCTAGTGAAAAATAACAGAGTAAAGGGGTTTAATGAATGATGACCATATTGAGTACAGAAATCAGAAATCAATCCCTTATCAGTTCGGAAAGATAATTCAGTAAGGATGAAATTTCAGTTGATCCGTAGAAAATCGAAGCAGTAGTGAATTGGCCTAGACTGACAAATGTTACCGAAGTCCGAAGTTTTCTAGGCTTAGCCGGGCATTACAGAAGGTTTGTCAAAGACTTCTCCAAAATTGCCGTACCACTGACTCAATTGACTCAAAAGGGGATATCATTTGACTGGACCGATCAGAGAGAATCAGCCTTTCAAGAGTTAAAGACTCGACTTATGACTGCACCGATTCTCACCTTACCCTCAG